AATTCAGGGCAACAAGAAAGCTGTGTATTTCTCTAGCAAAATGAATCGTTGCATTGAATGACTTGTTCAGCTTCCACACTTCTGTGTATTGTGAATCAAAACCAGTGCTGACAAATGAATTTCCCTTACCGGGTGTGATTTATGTTTCGGAGGAGGCACCGCCAAATTCCATAAAATATCCCACCTCCCAAAGTTTTACACAGTAGAAGATAATTCCTGTAAAAATGTGGTAAATGGGCTGTCGTTATTTCACTTCAGTTCAATTGCAGATTAAGCACCTCCTGAGGTTTTTCAGCATTGTATTATTTATACTGATGTAAAACTCATCTTTGACTTAATTAAAAGAATTGTGGGCTGTCTGTTTGGTTCCCTCTTTTCCCTCCCCTTAGTTTTTCTATTTTCACAACGTTCGTCTGGCAGTATACGATGTAACAGAGTGTAGTATATACAAAATAGACTAAAATAACAAAAAAGATAACAATATTATCCTGGTACACTTCTGAGGTGGTGCTTCTAGAGCAGCATTTCCCTACCTAGAGGTTGTGATCCCCGGGGTGTGTGTGCAAACTCTTCTCTCTGTGTATGTATGTGTCGTGTGTCACCTTATATGTGTTGTAAAGGTAAAGGTTCCCCTTGACATTTAGTCCAGTTGTGTCTGACTCTAGGGGGCGGTGTTCATCCCCATCTCCAAGCCGTAGAGCCAGCGATTGTCCGCAGACAGTTCGCATGGTCATCTGGCGAGCATGACTAAACATGGAACATCATTACCTTTCCACCAAGGTGGTACCCATTTATCTACTCACATTTACATGCTTTCGAACTGCTAGGTTGGCAGGAGCTGGGACAAGCGGTGGGAGCTCACTCCGTTGCATGGATTCGATCTTATGATGGCTGGTCTTCTGACCTTGCAACACAGAGGCTTCTGTGGTTTAACCTGCAGTGCCACCACGTCCCTATATGTTTGTAGCCCTTGTTAAATAATTTCTTCTTTGACCTTTTGCAGCTGCATATTCGAGTTAGCATGTATGTGTATGTATGAGAAACAGACCCTTTGGGGGAGAAAGAAGCCTCTACTATCTGAGAAGGGAAGACTTTACCCTATTAAAAAGGCTTTTTTAATGTAAATATGGTGGGGGTTGCACATTACTTGGCTATTATAAAAGGGCATCACAATCCAAAAAAGGTTGGTAACCACCATTCTAAGGCTTTTTTAAAGTAAATACGGCGGGGGTTGCACATTACGTGGCTATTATAAAAGGGCATCACAAGCCAAAAAAGGTTGGTAACCACCATTCTAAGATAACCTAACACAGATTTGGAATCTGTAGGAAAACATTGACTTTGCCCCCTGGTTTACACAGATCTAGACTTCACCTCACTAATAAGAAGTTGGAAAAATTCTCATTCCTGTTGAAGTAAATACGGCGGGGGTTGCACATTACGTGGCTATTATAAAAGGGCATCACAAGCCAAAAAAGGTTGGTAACCACCATTCTAAGATAACCTAACACAGATTTGGAATCTGTAGGAAAACATTGACTTTGCCCCCTGGTTTACACAGATCTAGACTTCACCTCACTAATAAGAAGTTGGAAAAATTCTCATTCCTGTTGCATTTCAACAAATCCTATCTGCATTTCCTTCCAGGCCTCATTGCATACCACGTTACAGAACTGTGTTTGATTCTTCCCACAGTGAAAGTTGTACAAATCTTATTTCCACAATGTGCACACGTTTACATATTTTATACCTCACATTCCCACCCCCATTGATTAAAGCTTGTTTCAGCATGTTGGGGTTTTCTGTTTTTACTCTACCTACATTCTGAATACCTTCTGAACTGTATGCCTCCTCATTTCAAAGTGTGTACACCCCACGGGCCTTGCAGCTTTTAAGGTGAAGGATGATTCTTCTCATAATGAATTTCATCAGGTGTGACAATCCCATTTTTATAAATCCCCTAGTATTATTTTCCATTTGTACTTACCAAAGTATCTGAGGAATGAGGATTAAGGTTCAAAATCCCTTCTCATCCCTAGGAATATAATGTTTTGGGACGCCTACGTTTGCCTCCAAATTCTGCTGCATGAACACCACACACTGGTTCCTGTCTCTGTTATGAACTAAAGGATTCTCAAATAAAGAGAAGACTCTACCCAGTTCGCCCTGTTCAGTCAGTCTTTAAGCACATTAAAAGGGGGAATGTAGCAGATCTGCCCGCACCTTCATTGTTTATTCATTATGTCCCTGTGTGGAGGGAACCTTATGAAGAGGTAAGCCTCTTCTGTTCCTGCTGTCCTCCCACTTGGTTAAGAAAACTAACCATAGAGACTGCTGGGAGAACTTCCATCCATAAAGGACTCTTTGGAGGGTAATGCTCCCCATGAAGAGAATATCAGAAATGCCAACTTCTGGTGATGTCAGGTCCCTTTCTTCACGCATTTATTTTCAGCACCCGGATAGAGCTAAACCAGCTCAGCAATCCACCTTTCCACTGTCAGTTCCATTTACTTTTTTCCTGACATATGGTCTCCGTTCAAAATTAGAGCTGAGGAATAATTTAAGGATCTTCCGTTGCGTACCCTGTCACCTTGAAGCAATTAATTTGAAATAAATCTGCCTGTTGTCAACACAACATTTATTTTTAAGAAGGGGTGGGAATGGGGAAGAGAGAAAAAAAATTGTGAGGAAAACCAGACCGAACAGCACATTGTTTGTAAGAGGAACAACCACTTTGACTATTTTCTTTTTTTAAACCTTGTTATACTGCCATATAGAAACAAAGTACCTCTACAAGACCTGCAGCTGCCGGTCAGGGCTTGGAGCATTCATTTTAAAAAGGAACTTGTCGGATTCCTCAACATTCACCTTGGCCGCTAGGCCATCATTCCTGATGACAGGACAGTAATTTGTTGTGCTGCTTGTTGTAATGATCCACTATCATTACTGTTTCTGTTACAAAAGCAAAGCAAAAATAGCGAAGCGTGCTCCTTATGTCCCACCCCATAGCACTTAAAACACACTCTGGGGAGTTTACAATTTTACTACGCAGGCTACATATTGCCCCCTGCCCCCCAGAAAGCTGGGTACTCAATTTGCTGACCTCAGAGGGATGGAAGGCTGAGTGAACCTCAAGTCAGCTACCTGGGATCGAACCCGGGTTATGCGTAGAGCTTTGGAAGCAATACTGCAGTTTCACCACTGCACCATGAAAAATGCAAGAAAATGCTCTCTAACACTTCTCCTCATCTTCAGCAGTACAAAATACAGATACAGAATTAACAACAAATTAATTAACAAATTAAATCAACGTTGCTTTTTCGTGACACCGTGCAAACGTTCAGATTTTTCTTAGCAAGAAAATACAGCTAGCTAAGCAAAACACCAGAATTTACTTCACACTTCCTTGTGTGGCTGATAACTTTTACTGTGTCTTACATCCTACTAACTCTACAAAGAAATAAATCCTGTTGAATTCCAGGGGACTGTGACTTACTGTCCTGAGTATACATGATAGGATTTGACTTCAGACTGAAGTAACAAGCCAGCTCCTCACCCTGAAGGTTTCGGGGATAAATGTTCACAGTCCATTCTTTTGTTCTATTGATTTCTTCTGGACCATAGTTTGGGAGAGGGGGGCAAGGCGAGAGGAACTCAAAGCAGGGATGGGAGAGAGGAGGGCAAAGAGGAAATAAAAAAAAAGAAGTCCTTCTACATCACCTTGGAAAAGGTGCCTGGTACCAATCATCCTATTTGTTCAAAGCTTGTAGAACAAAACTTTATCCGCAAAGAGAGGGAGGCAAGTTAGCAGCATATCATGATTCATCCTCAATATTCTTCCTTCCTCCTCCTCTCACTGCTCAGCCCAAGCCAGTAATTAGTAACAGACAGCCATTTTGTTCTGATTTCACTGTAAATATATAGCCATTGCAATTATAAGCAAAACAGTAGTTTTGTTTCCAGATTATTGCTGCAAAATGTAACTTGTTACAATTACAACTCTGTACAAAAGTGAATTATTTCCAAGTTCTTCTCTCAGCCTCATTAAATACATCACCCATCCTAATCACATAACATTACTGTCAGCAGTGTTGATGCATTTTCTGATTAAATGTATCAAGACTAGGCATAAAATGAAGTCTATTCAAATTAAGCATAAGACATCAGCTTGATATGGATTCATTCATGAATATATCCCATCTAGTTTCTGCTTTTTTTTTTAAAAAAAAGAAAAGGTGTGAACACTCACATTTACTTGCATATAAGGTTTCTTCGAGCTGAGAGAGATCTACCACAAAAGTTGAAATAGATAGGGCTGTGGGCTCACAGGTTGGGAGTTTAATTCCCCAATGAGTCTCCCTGGAAGACAGTCTGCCTGTGTAACCTTGGGCAAACTGCACAGTCCCAGGGTTAACGCTTATTCTCAGTGTGCCCCCAGAAGAGGGGAATGGGAATCCACTTCTAAGTACTCTGTACCTAGAAAAGCCATAAATATGAAATAAATTGGTGGCACGCAGCAATTATTATTTTCAAGAGTCCTCACCAACAGCTGGGACAATGAGACAAATAATTCTCCCCTTCCACCACAAGATCTCTTTATTTTGTATAAAATAGTGATGCACACAAACATAGACAACAAGCACAAAAAGAACTGGCTGATTATTAGGAAAGATCATTCGGAAATAACTATGTAGAGATTCAGATTCTTGAAGAATGTGGCAATCATTCTGAGTCTGGAAAATTCATACTATTTGCACAGTTCACAAATTGTGCAGCTCTTTAATTTTTTAATTTTTTGGTGGGGGGCAATTCTTGCACAGAACACAGAACTCACCCATGCAGAAATGGGTGAGAATTTGCATCCTTTATACGCATATACATTGCAGTGATATTAAAGATTCCCATAGAGAACATTTAAATGATATTAAAACAAATTGTGTGATGGTTATTATGTCATAACCAAGGTTTCTTCTTCCCCTGCCCCTCTCTTTCTTGCACAGATCCTGGGTTGCACAGGCAACAATTTTTCCTGCAGAGACCATCCAACGTCGTAGTGGTAGAGGGGACGGACGCGGTGCTCGAGTGTTGTGTTTCTGGCTATCCACCCCCAGTGTTTACATGGATGCGAGGAGATGAAATGATCCCGTTTAGGTATTTAGCCTGTGATTTTTTTTTCCCCAAGGTATATTGCGGGGCAAAACAAAGAAAGACTTCTGTCCAATTTCTTTGCATCTGAACAGTTTTGTCCCTTATGGGAGCACTGAAAAGAGACAACATGGAAAGGCAGGCTGTTCTTGGGCACCAGGGCTGTAACTTGGCTGGGATAACTGAGAATTGGCCCCAGTGGCACAGAATGCAGAGGGCACCAAAAGGGACATGTGAATGTGCTAGAGAGAGTTAGGAAAACATCTAAGCCAAGGTAGCATCCTGCATAAAATGCTTCCAGACAAGACCTCTCCAGCCTGACTGAGCAACGATCTCAGATTGTTGCACACCTGGCCGGTACTGTTGTTGGTGTATGGGGACAATCTCCAAATTACTGTCTGCCCAAGGCTCACAGTTCTGAGTAAGTGGTTCTAATAACTCTCAACATGATCCATATCCTGCCTCCAACTCACTGAGCCCTGCAAGGGAAGACTCACTGAAACCACCAACCAACTGAAAAGTGTCTGCCCGCAGTTACCAGCCTTACCGTTCCACCCAACTCCCAGTGGAGACATAAGGCAGCCAAATCAACCCGAACCAAAGCTTAATAAATTTCCAAAGATAATTTACCGCATCAGACGGATTATCCTAGAATTAAGGGGAAAAAATGAGTTGTTGATTGATTGACTCTGAATAAATTATCTTAAAATACCAACTGTCACCAGAAATGTTATAGGATTGTATCTCACTTTGTTCTAGAAGGAATAGCGGAGAAGATCCGTACTACAAATGTGCTTTTTAAACTGACTGTTTGTATTATTACACTTGTTTAATTTCTTTAAAAAATACTTGTATGCTCACTGTTTTATATATTTCCTTTCAATTGTTGTAAGCGGACTTGAGTCCTTTTAAGGAGAAAGGACAGTAAAAATATTTTAAATAAATAAATAAATACATGCATACACACACACACACACACGCATGTATGTATGTATGTATGTATGTATGTATGTATTAGATAGATGGATAGATAGATAGATAGATAGATAGATAGATAGATAGATAGATAGATAGATAGATAGATACATACATACATACATACATACATACATACATACATACATACATACATACATACATACATAGTGGAAATGAGCAATGGCTGTAGAGCAACCATTATTATGCTGTTCAGCACAGGATGATGTGCGTAACTGGTAAACGTGCAGCTTTAAACCCATCCATAATACATTACATCAGGAGGGAAGGTGGGTACCACACATTCTAAAGAGGAAGGCAGCAAGCCAGAGATAACCTACACCGTCTCCATCCCTGCCTCTATCTAGATGTATATTTTGGAGGGTTTCTGGAAGCTGAATCATGGCAACTGGACTTCTTTCTTATTAGGTTGAAACGTCATCCCTAAGTAGCTTCTTCGGTCTGAGGGGAGTTGGTAGAAGATCCCTGATATTGAGCAATGGCTGTAGAGCAACCATTATTATGCTGTTCAGCACAGGATGATGTGCATAACTGGTAAACGTGCAGCTTTAAACCCATCCATAATACATTACATCAGGAGGGAAGGTGGGTACCACACATTCTAAAGAGGAAGGCAGCAAGCCAGAGATAACTTACACCGTCTCCACCCCTGCCTCTATCTAGATGTATATTTCGGAGGGTTTCTGGAAGTTGAATCATGGCAACAGGACTTCTTTCTAATTAGGTTGAAACGTCATCCCTAAGTAGCTTCTCCGGTCTGAGGAGATTTGGTAGAAGATCCCTGATATATCCTCCATGTTGATTTCACTTCTCCCTGGTCTGAATAGGCTGGTTAGAATTCAGTTAGTATTTAGAACAGAGGGAAGCAAAACCAACGTGGATCTCCTACCGACTCTCCTCAGACTGA